GCTGCAAATAATATTCTGCTCATGCGCGAAATCAAAACCACGCTCACATGTGAAAAATGGCAGACCGCTTCCTTGAGCTATCAGAGAGTGATTTAAACATGTCAACAAACTTGGTGATCGAATGATAAAACAATTATAGAACTCGGTTATCGCAAAATAATGTGATTCGTCAGCGTCTCGCAGATCAGTTATTATCGCTTCGGAGAATAATTGATCTGCTCGCCACTGACAAATCACAATATTTTGCTCAACCTCGTCCAATAATTGCTACATCTTTGACATTAAAATATAAATTGTCAATAATATCAAAGAATTCAAAATACCCTTCCTCTTTCAATGAAAATAACAAATTATCAGCGGTGGGAGAAAAGGTGCTGTCTATTTCCATAACTACCTAGTCAGTAAGTTCATTTCTTGCCTGCACAAAGAGTGATCAGGAGTGATTGTTGCAATCTAGACAGGAAGACATTTTCTTGCACTATATCAAACACGAGAGACGGTGTTTCATAATATCCAAACACCAAGAAGAGAATTGAAAATACGACGCGCAGCGGAGTATTTTTGACGAAATTCGAGGTGTTTGGATAGCCGATGAAACACTGTCTCGAGTGTTTGATATNTCATGCGTAATACCGTCCAAATGTGTTGGGCTGCAAATAATATTCTGCTCATGCGCGAAATCAAAACCACACTCACGTGTGAGAAATGGCAAATCGCTTCCCTGAGCTATCAGAGAGTGATTTAAATATGACAACAAACTTGGTGATCGAATGATAAAACAATTATAGAACTCGGTTAGCGCAAAATAACGTGATTTGTCAGCGTCTCGCAGATCAGTTATTATCGCTTCGGAGAATAATTGATCTTCTCGCCACTGACAAATCACAATATTTAGCTCAACCTCGTCCAATAATTGTTACATCTTTGACATTAAAATATAAAGTGTCAATAATATCAAAGAATTCAAAATACCCTTCCTCTTTCAATGAAAATAACAAATCATCAGCGGTAGGAGAAAAGGTGCTGTTTATTTCCATAACTACCTAGTCAGTGAGTTCATTTCTTGCCTGCACAAAGAGTGATCAGGAGTGACTGTTGCAATCTAGTCAGGAAGACATTTTCTTGCACTATATCAAACACGAGAGAAGTGTTTCATAATATCCAAACACCAAGAAGAGAATTGAAAATACGACGCGCAGCGGAGTATTTTTGACGAAATTCGAGGTGTTTGGATAGCCGATGAAACACTGTCTCGAGTGTTTGATATATCTCCTCAATGTGTTATTTAGATTATTTGATTATTTGATTATTTGATTATTTGATTGCGTTATTTAGATTATTTGATTTGTAGTTTAGTCGGGTCAGGGAAGGGTTTTTTCGGGATAATTTTTAGGGGGTTGGGTGTGGGTGTATTAACCAAGTAGGGGACTTGTGTCCTATTGTTAAGCACCTGTAC